TTCAAAATGTTATCGTAGTCGTTTCGTACGCGATTATTCACCGATGACTCTCACGGACGACATCATTTCACACGCTTATAAATCACATCACGTACCCCCCCCCCACCCCCCAGGAGGATTTCGCGTGCCACCCCGTTTCAGAGCCCCCACTGCAGTTGGGTGTCGACGAGCGGCGCGATCGTAACGCGCTGTCTCAGCATTGCAGCGAGGACATTCCAAGCGGCGTCCCTGGTTGGGCCCATCGGTTCACATTCCTCCTCTCGCCATCACCACCCCCCCACCACCACCACACACACACACACACCCCCAGGTGATGTCAGGGCGGAGTCGAGTGGCCGCCAACATAGTTTCTAACCATTCGGACGAAGCTGAGAAGATCTGAGCCCGGTTGCTTTGTTCTTACCCTAGATGGGAGAGAGCCTGTGTGATGGGCGGTGGGGGTGAGGTGGGGATTTACAGGCGTTATAGGCTTGCAGATGCAATGGTTAGCGCAGCTGGATTTGCTCGTTCTGTTCCATCGCCTGGCGCGGAAGTTGAAACCATTGGCAAGGTTTGTTAAATGTCCATGCCGCACCCCACCGCCTCTGCCCCATCCAGTAGCTGGTATCGTGTAGGCCCTGGCCTGCGAGAGTGATAGCAGTACACCAATTCATTCATGACTCTATCCGTGCGGAGTAGGGAATTAAACATGTACCCTTCGCATTGCTAAGTGCATGGGTTTCCTGCTGGTAGTGTGACGAGTGCTCGGTTTGTACTGAAGTGAAAAAGACCCCGAGTCCGAACATTGGCCCGGCGTAATGGAGGCAATCACATTAAAATACAAACTGGCCTGATAACTTGATTTGAAGCTTTCGTGACTGCAGGAATTACTCTTTGGTTATTTCGGTAACGTCACGTAGAAATAGAAAATAAATGAAAGACACAGACAACGTGTGTCTCTCTCGGTGTGTCTCTCTCTGTGTGTCTCTGTGTTGTCTCTCTCTGCTTGTGTGTCTGTCTGTGTGTCTCCGTGTCTGTGTTGTGTGTCTCTCTCTGTGTCTCTGTGTTGTCTCTCTCTGCTTGTGTGTCTGTCTGTGTGTCTCCGTGTCCGTGTTGTGTGTCTCTCTGTGTGTCTCTGTGTTGTCTCTCTCTGCTTGTGTGTCTGTCTGTGTGTCTCCGTGTCTGTGTTATGTGTCTCTCTCTGTGTCTCTGTGTTGTCTCTCTCTGCTTGTGTGTCTGTCTGTGTGTCTCCGTGTCTGTGTTGTGTGTCTCTCTGTGTGTCTCTGTGTTGTCTCTCTCTGCTTGTGTGTCTGTCTGTGTGTCTCCGTGTCTGTGTTGTGTGTCTCTGTGTGTCTCTGTGTTGTCTCTCTCTGCTTGTGTGTCTGTCTGTGTGTCTCCGTGTCTGTGTTGTGTGTCTCTCTCTGTGTGTCTCTGTGTTGTCTCTTTCTGCTTGTGTGTCTGTGTGTCTCCGTGTCTGTGTTTTGTCTCTCTCAAATTTAGTTCTACCTGATGACGATTGCTTGTGTTGCAATCGAAACGTCGTATTCTATTATTGAATGTATTTTCTTTCTACTGGCCTGATAACGTCATCAGCCCGTTGGTGCGCCGCTTGAGCGTTACCCCCTCGTGTGTGAGCGCGATGGGTTTTGCCGGAATTTCTCCCACGGGAAGTCAAAATGCCTAAGAGTTGAATTTTCTCGAACACTCCCAATGTCACAGAGCACTCCCGACAAAAAAAAAGTTCCATAATACAGGTTTTCTTTGGGGGGGTTGTTAAACCCGCCGCCATCCGACACGGCCAATTAGTAAGGTTTGTCACGTAAACAGAAAATGCGGATTCGTTACTAGTACAGCACAACGGTGTGTTGGAGAGCAAATCCACAACATTTACAATCTGAGTACGACGTTTCGCTATACGTCGATGGGGAATACCTGCGAGCAGGCAGTAACAGGTACTGATATTTTCGTGCACACAAACGACAGGATATACAAGAACAATGTGCATGCATCATGTCGATTACCATATGAATAACCCTCATTGTACCCCCCCCTCCCTCTGGCCTTCGCAGAAGAAGGGCACACAAGGGACGTTATCACATCATTCCCTCTATTTAGGGAACGACACAGGAGGTTTTCTCCACAAATCTGGCTGTCGCTGATGATGCTAAGCGAAACGTCATCCTCAGATTGTCAATGTTGTGGATTTACTCTCCAACACATCGGTGTGCTGTACTAGTAACGAGTTGGCATTGTTCTGTTTACGTGACAAACCTTACTAATTGGCTGTGTCGGGTGGTGTCGGGTTTAACGATACATTTATATATTTACGCGATTTAATCCCCCCAAAAAACCTGTTTTATGGATGATATTGATCGCAAAAGCCTACGTGTTAAACCAAAACAGGTCTTCAGACTCATTGAATCTTTGATGGGTAAATACAGGCCATTGTATAGCTTCATATACATATAGAATTACCACACAGCCAGCAAGAACATATGTGTCTGTCAGCTAAACACCCGATACGAAACTAAACTATGTTATTTTCCAGGCAAAACCCACTTAGCTATCAGTTAGGAGGCGACCTGGCCACAAGTGATGATAGCTCATCATCGACGTGGCTTACATTGTCATTACAATCACACATGGGAATTTATAACAGCAGCCTATATAATCTAAACAGGAGTTGATTCTCAATGTTGGGCAAGGGAAACCCAGAGGAACCCGAAAAAAGATCCACGCGACCACAACGGGGGAGAGAGAGAGAGATCACGCAGACTCCAAATACACAACAGACATCTTCAGGGTCCAGGCTCGAACCGTCGCGCTCCTGCGTACCAGACGAGAGAGATGATATCTCCTCGCCACCGTGGCGCTATGAGTAATCGTAAACATGTCATTTATGCATGAGTGCATAAAAGACTCACCAAGCCTCAAGACTTTTGAGGCTTGGTGAGTGATAATTACTATCTGTACTGGTCCTGGACCTCCCCTAGGTCGACTCAGCCTCAAGTGAGTACATGGTCGCGGTGTGTTAAGCATCACGACTAGGGATGGCAAAGGCGGGCGGCCGCGGAGTTGGCCACCCACCGACCCTCGTGCGCTGTACGGGCCTTGGGAAGTGCTCGCGAACAAAAAGTTCGTTCAGGCGATACCGGGAGGTCTTTGTCAGTGGAGTGCTTCGCGTATTGTGCCAGCAAACACGGCCAATCGAGTTCGATTCCCGACCACGGCTGACATCAGTGGCGGACATATGAACCCATTCTGGGCCTCCCGTAAATCGTCTCAGCCTTAAATGAGCACCTAAAATATATATTTATCTGGGGAGACAAAGGCGGCCGAGCGTTGGCGAAGGCCACACCACCTCTCCGAGCGCCGTGCGGGCCTTAATAGATCCTCGCTTACAGCACTTTCCCCAACAGTCCATGAAGGCCGTACGGGGGATATCTGTCTTTGCAATTTGACAATACTTCCCCTCCACCTTCAACCCAGTGTGGTGAAGTATGGTCAAACAACCCCCATGACCACCAACACGGCGGCGTGCACCGAGCGAGGGCACTCGTCCAGCAGTGGATTTAAAAGTACATCTTCGCTACACCCCTCCCCCCGGCTGTGGCCCAGCGCTTTAGGGAGGCATGGGGGTTGGTGGTACACGCAGAGATTTTGTGAAAATCCCAAAACCTCGCTTCGGAGTGGCGAGGGTTGGTGGCCAGCAGGTGGCAGTGTAGCAAGCGGGAGCCCGTCTGCTCTGGTTAAATAAATAAATAACAATCGTGTTGAACCTTCCAACACGAAGGGTCAGGCGGGGTCAGTACGTTCCTGGCGCAGCTGCACCGCTCAGCGTAACGTCAACAGCGGCGGGTCCTGTGGACGTACTGGTCCCCGCCATAGGAACGTCGACATTGCACCGATGGCTGAATACGGTGGTGATGTGTAAAATTGCACTGCCCCAAGTGCCGTGTATACCGTATAGTAATGGTAATAGGTTTATTCAAGGAGAAGGGGGTTTAGAAGTACGGTATAATAATTGATTTTTGCTGCACTGACCTATCCCTGCGCCAGCCTGCGTAGGTTCCGAGAACTGACGAGATCGGGAATGTTCTGGAAACGGAGTAACAATAATAATAATAAACTAATTATCCCAATTATATACTGTACCTAGGAAAGCCCCACTGCGTGACTGTGTGCGTGGGGAGCGGTGGCGCAGTGATTAGCGCGCTCAGCTTACAAAACCCAGCAACCCGGATTCCATTCCCGCTCACGGCCACCACCAGGGACGCTTATGAAGGCCGTGACGGCCTTCACAGGTGCTCGCGAACAGCACTTGCCCCAACAGTCTGTTAATGCTATACGGGGGATCTTTTTATTTGTAATGGTTCACGCACTGCGCTCCGAGCCCAGCCAGCCAGAGTTCGATTCCGACTCAAAGGGGGGGGGGTGGGTGGCCAGCACCACGCCCGGTCGCCTTTGTCTTCCCAGTGCTAATTTTTACACACCACACCGAGTAGTCATTTATGGCTGAGTCGACCTAGGGGAGGCTCAGGACCGGTTAAGATAATCCGTCACTGGCGCTGGTGGCCGTGAGCGGGCGAATCGAAGTCGGATCGCGAGGGTTCACAGCGCGCGCGGCCGCGCTAACCGCTGCGCCTCCACTCCCGCGACAGACAGACAACACGCGCGAACACACAAAGACAAAGATCCCCCGTGTAGCCTTAACAGACTGTAGGGGCAAGTGCTGTTAGCGAGCACCTATAAGGGCCGGCACGGCACACGAGGGGGTGGGTGGCTAACACCACGCCCGGCCGCCTTTGTCTCCCCAGTGGCGATGTTTACACACCGCATCGGGTGCTCGTTTGAGGCTGAGTCGACGTAGGGGAGGCCCAGGACCGGTTCAGATAACCCGTCGCTGGTGTTAACCATGAGCGGGAATCGAACTCGGCTCGCCGGGTTCGTAGCGCAGCGCTGCGCTAAATGTTACACCACCGCACACACGCACGCGCACACACACAACACACACGCGCGCACACACAACACGCACACACGAGCGCACACACAACACGCACGCGCACTGTATATGTAAAACCGCTCGAGTGACGCGTGAGGTTCGCCCCGATGACGGCGTTGGGGGATCCCCTTAAAGCTTCGCTCCTCTCGACCGCGCACAAGCAAGCGTCTGGGGTGTTGCGCGCTCCCTAGCCGGAACAAGTCGCTCACTCAAGACTCGCGCGCCGCTCTCTATCTCTCTCATCTCGTCTCTCTCATCTCTCTCATCTCTCTCCGACTCTGTCTCTCACACAGCCTACACCGCCGCGGTCGGCGGTGACTGCTCTTCACGTCGTCTTGCAGCTGCTCGTGCCAAGTGGTTCCCCTACGCTCCGAGCGTCCGCGGGCAGCCGCGTCTCAGCGCGCCCGTGCGTCGGAGACGCGCCACTCACTCGCTGGGGAACCACACACACACCCCGCGTAGCTCTCATCAGCATCGTCGGCAGCTCTACCTGGTGTCAATATCGGCATCAGCACTTCGTAGCGGCGGAGTCACCGGCGGTTGTTGTCCGCTTGATTGTGGAGCAGGTGACCGACCGGGAGACGTTAACTACCAAACATATTTCACAAACGTTAAACACGCATCATCGTCGGCAGCAGCAGCCGCCATCATATACATTCTATCGAGTAGATGTTGTCCACTTAACACATAAACTAATGTGTCATCATCAGTAGCAGCAGCATCGCGTAGATTGCTATATTATCGTCATTGTCAGCATCATCACCGCCAGTTGCAGGATCGAGTACTGTAACTTGCATCATCGTCAGCATCCTCAGCAGCAGTTGCAGCATCGAGTACTGTATATTGCATCATCATCAGCAGCAACATCATCAGCAGCAGCAACAACATCATCATCAGCAGCAGCGCGGCACGGACTCCAGTTCGCTCCGCGTGCCCCAGATCGCAAGAAGCGCTGCCACCGCGGAATGGCTCTGCGGCAGGAATGAAGACGAGGTCTGTGAGCGCGCGCTCGGAGGAGGAGAGAGAAGCGAAAGAAGAAGTGGAGGAAGAGGTGGAGGAGGTGGAGGAAACCACGAGGTCTAGGGGAGACCACGCCATGGGGGTCCGTCCAGGCGAAACCGGCGGATTCCCCGGGGTGGACTCCACCCACGGCGGCAGCGGCAGTCAGGGGGAGGAAGGGGGAGGAGGAGACCTGCATCTCGAGCCGAACCCGACCCCTGACATTTGCGGTGGCGGTGCGAGTGGCTTAGCGGACATCGCCGGACCACGTGAGACCGACAGGCGGCAGAGCGCCGACCGGGTGGCAGGGCAGCCACACGCCATCGGCAGCGGCACCTCGGACTCGCGGAACACCCTCGGGTTGGATCGGTTGTGCACGACGGAGAATGGATCCGTGCAGGAGGCAACGGCGCCATCGGAAGAGGTGAGCATGATCATCAGCAGCGGCGGCGGCAGCGGCAGCAGCAGCGGCAGCAGCACCAGCAGGATCAAAGTCCATCGCAACCAAGCCAGCCCCGGATCCCTCGCGCGGTGCAAGAAGAAGATCAAGGAGGATCGCCATCCGCAGACGGCCACCGCCACCGGCACGGACGAGGGGGGCTCCGCCCGGGAGGAGATGAACGGTGGGTCGGGACCCCTCCCGGTGGTCACCGTGACCGAGCACGAGAGCGACCACCGTGAGTCGGACTCGAACGAGGCGGCGAGCTCGTCGGACGTGGCCCCGGGACTCCCGGGTACGGCGGAGCCGCGCGGATTGAGTCCCGCGGCCGTCGCCGCCAGCCGGTCCCCGTCTCCGCAGCGCGTCCACTCGGCGTCCTCCTCCGACGGACTTCTGTCCTCGTCCTGCGAGGAGTCCGAGGGAGGAGGTCAAGGGTGGCCGGGGGCTGAAGGTCAGGGCCAGAGGAAGGCGGCCAACGGAGAGCAGAACAAGCGCCCCACGGTGAGGGATATTGGTTCGTTCTGTGTGCGCGTGGACGAATTCTTGTTTGAAGCGGCCCCGGGTTTATGTCTTTTGGACTTCTTTTTCGAGGCCGTACGTAGCCAACCGTGCTCATCGGAGGTGCGGCTCGGCTTCGAATGAGTGCTGTGTGTCTGGTGCGCTGTGTGACCATCGCCACTGGGGAGGCAAAGGCGGCCGGGCGTGGTGTTGGCCACCCACCCACCCATTCGTGTGCCGCAGTGCCAGGCCTTCATAGGTGCTCGCTAACAGCGCTTGCCCCAAGAGTATGATGTTAAGGCTATACGGGGTATCTTTGTCTTTGTTGCTATTTCACGTGACGTGTTTGAACCAGTCCTACGTCTCCACCCTAGGTCAACTCAACCTTAAATACGTTACCTGGCGCGGTGTGTAAACATCGACGCTTGTGGGACAAAGGTGGCCCGGTATGGCGTTTGACGGCCACCTCGTGTACCATAGTGCCGGCCTCCATAGGTGCTGCTACTCGCGAACTTCACTTGCCCCCAACAGCCGGTGTTAGGCTATGCGGGGTGTGTGTGTGGGCGAATTTTGTCTTCACCTAATTCCACGTGGCCGAGCCGTGGCCATTGCCTGTCTGTTGCTTCTGCAGACTCGAGAAACAACAGCGGCGCAGCCGTCTCAGTCAACCCGAATGAACGAAGCCACCACGCGGTTCTGTGTCTACCGATAGCACACAGACCAGCGTGGTGAAGTGTGCTTCAGATTACCCCCTACGGCTTAGGGAGGCCCTCATCCAGCAGTGGCATCCAGCACTGGATTGACAACATACCGTGTTAGCTGCTTGGCTCTGTCCCGTGACCTTTTTTTTTCGTGTGTGCCAGCGAGCCTATGACGACATTTCCACGTGGTCCCCAAAAAAAGGGCAACCTGGCCTGGCACGAGAGCTGTTGTGACGTCACCGGCACGTATTGGCGAATGGCGGCTGTTGTTGTGTTTTGGGAGTAGTGGCGCAGTGGTTAGCGCAGCGCGTTACGCGACAACGCCCAGTCCAAGTGCGCTCCCCAGCCACGGCAAAACATCTCAGCGGCGGATGATGATGACTGAACCGGGCTGTGGCCTCGCCTAGGCCGACTCAGCCATAAATGAGTACAGTACCTGGTTACGGTGCACAGACATCAGAAAGTGGGGAGACAAAGGCGGCCGGGGGTTGGTTCACAAGGCGTGGTTCTCGCACGGCTGAATTATCGGCCATCGCTAACTGGACTTTCCCGAACAGTCTTTAAGCCTAAACGTGTGTATGCATATTTTTGTGTGTATGTCCTTTGTTGGCACAGCGTCAGTGATGGACATTCCACATTCATATGACAGGGGATACGTCTTCCCTGCAGCGTCTATTGACCACCACATTGCGTTGTGGCTTTTGAGATGTATGTACTGTATGTTGAACTTCTTTCGCACCGTACGTAGCCAACCGTGCTAATCGGTGGCGCGGGGGAAGGACAACAAACCAAACACACAAAAAGCAATTGCTCAAGAAGTTAGTGTTTCAATCTATGACAGTGGTTCTTAACCTTTGGGATCCACGCATTTCCTGGGGGTGCGAGATGCCCTTTCTGAGAACCAAAGGTGGAAGGGGGTGCAGGCTTCAGTAAAGGTTAAGAACCACACTGATCTATGAGATGACAGCACAGCAAGTGGGTGCGTGCCACTGCGCTCACCTTGACGGGCAATGTCCCCTCGAATGCACCGGTGGGTTTTCTCCGGGCACTTTGGTTCTCCCCTCCCCCTCCGCCACACACGTGGCTCCAATTACCAAATATTTCCTTAAATTTTGATTTAAAGCTTTCGTGACTGCAGTAATTCATATTCTTAGCTCTTTCGGCAAAGTCACGTTGAAGGGAAACAATAAAATAATAAAATATATATGAAACATCTATATGAAACATATATTTTATTACTTTATTGTTTTCCTTCAACGTGACTTTACCGAAAGAGCTAAAAATATAAATTTTTCCTTGTTAAATAAATTGTATTATCAACATTATTATTATTTCTACGTCATTATCGGTCCACGATCCATCCACTGCTGGATGAAGACCTCAAGAGTCTACCCCATCTGATTACCATCGACGTGCGGCGGTGGATGCAGTGCCGGATTATGCCAGTAGCACAAGTCGCTGCACGTGCTACGGGCCCCGCACTCTCAAGGGCCCCGCGCTAAACACTATGCACTACACTACTATCCACTCTACTACTATAGAATACACTGTACACTATACACTACACTATTATACACTAAACTACTATACACTACACTATACACTACACTATACACTACACTATACACTACACATTGGGCTCTAGGGAGGCCTGTCGTTAAGCGATTAGTCGTTAACAGGGGTGGTCATTCAGAAGGGTTCTACTATTCTTTGGATCTTTCGGTAAAGTCACGTAGATAGGTTCAAAGAAAATAACAAAAAAACATTTATTATATTTGTTATTTTTTGGTTATTTTCTTTGAATCTATCTACGTGACTTTACCGAAAGATCAAAAGAAAATGAATTCCTGCAGTCACGAAAGCTTTAAGTCAGGGGTTCTATTGTACAAATACAACTCAACCATCCCCACCCTACCAGACAAAGCCCATTCAACACCACCACCAACAACAACAGCCACAATAGGAAATGAATGTACAAAGAGCAGCAGCACCTCTAAAACTATAACAGCCCCGGGCTTACGGTCACACTGAGTTTGGCACTGCAACAATGCAAGATCCTTGTTCATCATATCACTCCTTTTCTGTTTTGCTCATTGCTGCTCCTCTTGTTGGGTTGGGAGTGGTGCCCGAGCGATATTAACAACAACACTCAACAACACATTCGTTGTTGTTAACTGCGCCCTTTAAAGGAAACACCCTCGATGATCGGCGACGTTTCGGGGGATGGACCTTCTGCACATACGTCACTTTTAATTACCAAATTGACCTGGACGATCCACAGGTGTAAGGGGATCTGAGTTATAACACTTAACATTATAGTGCTACAGTATCGTGTTTCAACGGTAATACCTTGGATTACCGTTGTTAATCCACTGCTGGATGAGGGCCTCTGGTGGCCATGCTGGTCAGTGTGGACTGTGAAACAGAGGGACATAGACGTCAAAGCATGACTGCAATACAACAATGTCAGAAACGAAATCATCATGTATCCTGGAGAAATCCGACGAGCCGTGAAGCTCTTTTTTCACAGATATCCAGTCGGGACAACGGGGTCAGAAACTCACAACAACAAACAATAAAACAAGGTTGGTGTGAAAAGTATAGGAAATATCGAAAACCATTTTTTATAGAAATAAAGTATATAAGTTCAAATTGCACAAGTACATCTATCTATTCCCAAGGGTGGGCCACTGAACCGCCCTCTGCTGCCCACAACGTAGCCCCACAGCAGCAGCAGCCTAGAGCACTCGTTATCCGTGGTGGTGGATGCCACCATCCAGTCACTACTCCAGGCTCAAAGCCCTGATTAGCTTCGGTGATCTTGCTCGCAGGAGCACCCCTGGAGATGGTCACGGGAAGACCGGAAGAACCGGAAAAAAAATCCACGCGACCATGGGGGGAGAGAGAACACCGCACACTCCAAATATACAGCAGGCGTCAGGGGTCGGGATCGAAGCCAAGGCCTCCTGTAGACCTGGCGAGGCAGTTAACATCTCCTGGCCACCGTGGCGAGATTGTTGTTCTTTTTGACGAAACACAGCGGGGGACGGACGGACACTTTCACGACGAGAACGCCTCTGGCCGCACATGGGCGGGTGGATGAACGCCCGCGGAGCAAGCCCCTCGGGGAGGTGGCATCGCGGTCGTCTTTTGTACGGATCTCAAGACAAACTCGAGAACATTCTCAGGTCAAACTATGCAAGAGCTCTGCTAATGTCAAAGTATAGATTCTAATTGCTCAAACCGAGCTATGAATACTTTCATGCTTGCATTGCCTTTGTACAATTCGCCTTTTGGCGTTCTCTGGTCCAACACTGGTGAGACGAGGCCACGAAGTAGGATGTCTCTGGTGTAGGCCGATCAGTTTCAAAGACAATGCAGATAATGAATTTTAAGAGCACGGGTTTTTTTTACATGTTCACCACAAGTACTGTATGTGCGGTTAATGCAGACTCGAGTCCTTGCGAAAGGTATCCATTTGGTGTTTGAACACCTGTTTTTATTGCCAGAGAGGGTAACAACCTCTTCTTGTCGCTTCATATGCAAGGGTTGTTCGCTAAAAGCGTCGCTCTTCATTGCAAGCCACTGGTAGCTCCTCTGGGTGGCCTTTGGTGCGACCGCTGGCTGCAACCCCCATCAGCAGCATCATCATCGTGCTGCTGTCAATCTCTCCCCCTCCACACCACCACCACCACCAATGGTTTAAAATGCGTGGCGGTCCTCTCCCTGATGATTTCTTATCGGCGAAAGTGTCCCCCACCCACACACTCACACCCCCACATACACACATCCACCCTCTTAAAATTCGTGAAGAATACCGCGCCAAACTATTACACACACCCACGCAACGGCACCCCGTGGTGGGGAGAGGAAGGGGGGGGGGTGACGAAAATAAAGTGGGGGGTTGGGACGTTGCGCTTGAGAGAAGTGATGTGGGGGGGAGGGGGTGAGTTGGCGTGGGTGGTGGTGAGTAGAAGTGACGGGGGTGGGGCTAGGGAGGGGGGGTAAATCAGCACCCCCACCCCCTCCACGCTCCCCGCGCGGGTCCCGCTCTGCGGTTCCCCTTATCGGAATCCACTTATCGGGGTCCCCCCCCCCTCCACCCCCGCCCGGATTTTTTCCACTGGGCGCGCTTATCTGGAGTCGAAAGGCGAGAGAAGCACGCGCAGCGGAGGCCCGGGCTGCTACACAAACAGCAGCAGCAGTAGCAGCAGGGAGTGTAGTGGCTGTTGCAATAGCAGGGAGTGTAGCAGCAGTAGCAGCAGAGAGTGATACGGCTGTTGTTGCAGCAGTAGCAGCAGG